GTTTCTTTTTTTATTTCAAATAGTGAAATGGAGTCATTCTTAGATCACTAATTTCTACGAATATAAAATTTGAAATTACAACTAATGATTGATGAAAAAAAAATAACAAAAAATTCATAACCACATTTTTTTTTAAATCCACATCACATAATTATACAATCTTAAGAAATTATGAAACGAGTTTGTATATTCACACACTCTTATAAAATATTAATATTAAAAAAAAAATTTCTTATATATATATTTATTTATTTTCCTATACTTCATGATATAATTCATACAAAATTTAATATTTCCCTATTTCTTGTGAAAAAAATTATACAAAACATTAATTTTCAACTGGTGATCAATAAATAATAGTTTTTAAGAGTAAAAAATTAGGATATCTGTAGGAAAGGAAGACATGTAATTACATTGTGGTTTACTTCCATAAGGTCTTGGGTTCAACACTTCATAGAATTTGCATGGTTAAATTATTATTTTCCCTTTTTAAAGATTGTAGGTTTCGAACGTCAGAGTTCTAAGCAAATACTAGAGATTTATGGTTTTTTTAAAGATAATAGTATATAATTTGTGTGTATTTCATTTGATAGAATTTATTAGAGTCAATACATATGCTTGTAATTATTTTAACCTAATCCAGAAAAAAAAAACCAATAATAAAATCTACATTTATACAGTAGAGCTTCAGCCTTATAAAAACCCCTCTTTGGTGCTCACTTATTCACAGAGAGAGAGAGAGAGAAGAGGAGAGTTAAACAGAGTTTCTCAAAAGAAAGAGAAGTAAAGAAGGGGAGAAGAAGAAGAAGAAGAGACGAGGAGAGTATGTGTTATGATAATTAATTTAAAATAAAACTCTCTAATTATGTTAATTATAGTAAATAAAAATAAATAAACATATAAATAGTAAAAATTTTATGGGTGTTTTAGAACAATACATGTACTCTAGAATTGACTAAGATTTCTCACTAAACAAAATAATTAATGTTGATTGAAATTAGACTTATAGTATATGCATAGCAAGGCAATATTAGGTGCAACAATAATACATACATATGTTTCAAATTAATCTAAAAGCTGATGTGAGGCCACATAATTGATTTAATATTTTATAATTTAAGAGACAAATATTTTATAATTTAAGAGACATAAATTTTACTAGAAGAGGGGCAATTGACCCTACCTACCTGGCACTGCCAATGACTTGGATTCTTGCATACAATCAAACTTTCACATTCATTATGAATCTTTCAATTAAAGGATAATGAAAATGAATGCAAGAAGTAAATGATATAGAAATATGATTTAAAAATTATTATCACATAAATATATTGATTTGTGACATGTTTGATTTACTATTCCACATGTGGTCTTTTAAATTTTTCACTGTCATTATAATTATTTTCTCTTCTATTTATCCTTTTTTTCTTTTTCTTTTTTATCTCTCCTCTCTCATTTCCTGTGATTTATTTTTCTAATTATTTTATTTCATATCATTTTATATACAGAATATAGACAAAATAACGCTATAATTACTAACAAAATAAAGGTTGTATTAACTATATTGATACTGGAAAGGTTGGTAGGCATTAGATTATGGACCCCAAAGTTAGTTGGGGAGTTGGATAGGTTGTTGGATGTCACATCTAATTCATAATTTATTTCTTAAATCTAATTTGTCTGAAGTTTCAAAATACGTGCAAAAATTTGTGGAAATATAGAGGTAATGTACAAGTAATATCCATATATAGTCAAGTCAACAATAAATAATAATTTTAATAAATTGATTGTTACAAGAAAAAGAAAAAAAATATTAAGACATTGTACGTACCCAATACAATTCATAATGTAATGTTGCTTATATGAAAAGTCGTTTTTTAAGAAGCAGAAAAATAATGGGTTAATTTTGTATACCTTTGTAAGATCCATTAATTTAAGTATATCTAAGTTTCTTGAACACCATAAAAAATCACCCTATAATTACTAATTCCCTATGTGATATTCTTTCCTTATTTTTAAAAAATAAAAATTTCAAAGAGTTTTTAATAATCATAGGAAATTTAAATGATCTCGTAAAAATATATGAAATTAATCATAAACTTATATATAATATAAATTGAAGTGACATAAAATAATAGAAGAGTGCATAAAAAAACCAATTTAATTAAAAGAATTTGGCAAAAGAATAGTAACAGTTATGTTAGATTTATTTATTAATTAATTATAAAAAAATACATATTTGGTATGTGATATTATTTAAAATAAAAAAAATTATGGGTTATCCAGACGCCAGGTGGATCTGAATAAGAGAGAGAAGAATTTTCTCATGAATCGTGCCGACCATGTTTTGATACTTTAACCATATATTCAAGCAGTAGAATATTCATTTAATGGGGTTTTGATTTTAATAATTGATACCCTGCCTTAATTAATTATGATAAATAATTTAATCATACACGTGCTTCATTTATTAAGACTATGAATGCGCCAACCGCTCTTTAACATAGAAGAGATTAGTTTTACAAAGGATTTAAGCTTCGTTCGTTTCATTTATGGGAATACTATTATTATTTTATTAGTATTTCTAAAAAAATTAAATAGTAAAATTGTAAAAATTTATAATATTATTTAATTTTTTTTAAACCCTCTAAATTTATTAATTTAATTAAATATCCTTAAATATTTTTTTTTTAAATTACAAAAACACCTCTAAATCCACATTATACCAGATTCTGACCACCACTGTCGGAAGATGATGGAAATCTAGTATAATGGCGCACTACCGGCTGAATCTGGCCAGTAGTGCGTCGATCTAGCCTTTTCCAGCCAGATCCATGGTAGATCTTGTCGGAAAAGGCCAGATCTAAGGCCAAAGATCTGGCCGTTGACGACCAGATCTTTGGTCGTAGCCAATCGTCAATGATGGCCAACATATGGTCGTCGTTGACCATCAACGACGGCCGTATGTTGGTCGTCGTTGACCATCAACAACGGCCGTATGTTGGTCGTCGTTGATAAGCAAATGTGGCCAGATCTAGCCGTCAATGGCCAGATCTAGCTGTAAATCTGACCTGAAAATGCCATATCAACGCACGACCGGCAAGATCCAACCGGTCATACGCCGATACGGCAACTCCGGAGGGCGGCTATGATTATTCAATGGGTAGGTTGGGAGTGTTTTTGTTAACTTTTAAAGTTTTATTATATGGGTGTTTAATAAATAAACAAACATAGGGGGTATTTTTATTAATTTTCAAATCCTACATCGTAATACCCGCCTAATTCAACTTTTTTTAACTTTTTTCAAAAAACTTTTTTAAAAAATGTAAAAAAGTGAACCAAACGGAGCCTTAGGTTATATAGTTATAAAGGAGTTTTTATTTTATTTGTAACGTTTCTTCGATATTGTAAGACGAGAAAATATATTGAGAAAGATAACAAAATTTATAAAATATTTAGTTCATCCTTATTAATAACTGAGGTGACTCGAATTTAAAATCTCTTGAATAATATATTTAAAAGTTTTTATTCAACTATTCGACTATGTAATGGTAGTTATTAATAAAAAGAAGAAAATGAAAAAAATGAAAATTAGAAGGGTATCAACATATTTAGAATACTTTTTTTGTTCAATTATTTTTCTTAAAGGTATTGACAATTTAGAAACTTTTGAGCATCAAATTTTATAAAAAAGTATTAATTTCTAGATTTTGATCCACTCAAACAGAAATTTTATTTAAAATAATTCATTTTGAAATATATTATCATTATTTTTTTTTTTTTATAATGTAAAATCATTGGACTCAATTTCATAAATATGAGTTTCAAAACTAGAACTTTTGTTGAATCCAACTATTTGTTAAGATAAAAAAACAACCACCTTTGACAATATATGTCTGTGAGAAAACTCGAACCACAAACTAAACCTCATTTTAAATACGTTCATTGTTAAGTTTCCTCATCAAATTTCATCACATGCATTAAACATGGTCACCGGCCATGGATAAGGTCGATTTAATGAATTCTGATATATATAAACAAAAGTAAAAATTAAAGCTGAATCCATAGATTCTGTTTTTCTAACTGAGGTTGACTGGTTTGTCCTATTACAAAGTATCCCGTTTCCACTTTATTTTATTTTCTGGAATTTGCTTTCCTCTTTGTGCCTTCTTCCCTTCTTGTACGTCAGATTTAGTTTCTTTTTTTATTTCAAATAGTGAAATGGAGTCATTCTTCTAGATCTATCTAATTTCTACCGGAATATAAAATTTGAAATTACAACTAATGATTGATGAAAAAAAAATAACAAAAAATTCATAACCACATTTTTTTTTAAATCCACATCACATAATTATACAATCTTAAGAAATTATGAAACGAGTTTGTATATTCACACACTCTTATAAAATATTAAATATTAAAAAAAAAATTTCTTATATATATATTTATTTATTTATCCTATACTTCATGATATAATTCATACAAAATTTTAATATTCCACCTATTTCTTGTGAAAAAAAATTATACTAAAACATTAATTTTCAACTGGTGATCAATAAATAATAGTTATTTAAGAGTAAAAAATTAGGATATCTGTAGGAAAGGAAGACTATGTAATTACATACTTGTGGTTTACTTCCATAAGGTCTTGGGTTCAAGCACTTTCATAGACATCTGCATGGTTAAATTATTATTTTCCCTTTTTTTAAAGATTGTAGGTTTCGACAAGTCAGAGTTCACTAAGCAAATACTAGAGATTTATGGTTTTTTTTAAAAGATAATAGTATATAACTTATTGTGTATTTCATTTGATAGAATTTATTAGACTAGTCAATACATATCTGCTTGTAATTATTTTAACCTAATCTCAGAAAAAAAAAAACCAATAATAAAATCTAACATTTATACAGTAGAGCTTCAGCCTTTATAAAAACCCCTCTTTGGTGCTCACTTCTATTCACAGAGAGAGAGAGAGAGAAGAGGAGAGTTACAAACAGAGTTTCTCAAAAGAAAGAGAAGTAAAGAAGGGGAAGAAGAAGAAGAAGAAGAAGAAGAGAGAGAGAGAGAGAGATGGGAAACATTGGAGAGATTGTAGTGGTAGAAGAAAGGGGAAGATCAGTTCCTTCATTATCATTTGATTTTTATAATTCATCAGCAACAAAAGCAATGCCTCAACTCTCTCTCAACCATGTTTCATTTGTCTGCAAATCTGTCAGAGATTCTGTCAGGTTTTATGAAGATGTTTTAGGCTTTGTTCTCATCAAAAGACCTTCTTCTTTCAACTTTGAAGGAGCTTGGTAAGCCCCTAATTCTCTTTTTCTTTTTCCATTTCTGTGTTTTCACGTTGCTTTTTTCATTATTTTGTTTTTGTTTTCATTATCTTCTTGAATTGCACTTGAAAAACATCCTTGAGTTCAAATAATGTTACTATATCTCTTTCTTTCGTGCTCATTAATCATGGAAGTCTTCGGTATAACAGACATGTTTTTATTTTATAAACTTAATTACAAAAATTATATCATATAAATATATAATATTTATTTATTTATATTATAATTCATAGTTTATACTTTGTATGATACTCATGGTCAGTGGTTATTGTATTTTTTTTATAGTAATGGCATGAAGCAGGTGGTGAGAAAATGTTTTGTTAGGTGGCCTTCTGAGCTCTTTAATGTTTGTGTTAGAGTATTGTACGTTTTGATTAAGTCTCCTATCTCTCTCTCTTTCCCCCAATCTTTCATTTACTTTTTAAAAAGATTTATAGATCCAAAGCTATACACATAGCTTTTGTTAAAAAAAAAATTGAACAAAGAATTAATTAGAGGTTTGGCTACTAGTAATAATTAAGGGGGTCCACCTAATTACATATTTATTTATTTATTTATTTTTAAATGTAACATCATACTTTATACATCTATAAATTTTATTTAAGTGTAATCTTCTGTATTAAATATTTGACGTTTCATGTTTTGAAAGAACACCATTCTTGTTTTAATCTTACCCCACTAAGGAAAATCTAAATTGTGGTTAGGTGCATAACATCTGGAAAATTAGATTTACTCAAATAGAATTAAAAGAAAAGGAAAAAACAAAAATTGAATGATTGAAGACAATCCATGTGAAGCATGAAATAAAATGGTGGGAGCCATATGATATGATATCACAAAAATTTAATTGGGATGGTCCATTGAACAGCCTATTTTTGTATCAGAAACTGATACTCCTTTCTTTTCAATGTCTCAAAAATACGTTAGATGAAAGATAAAAACAAATTAACGAAAGAAGTATTTGACTGAGGTAAAAAAATTTTTTATTTTTTATTTTTAAATCTACTTTCTTCTTGATTAAATGGATTTTAATCATTATGATGGCTAATTATTTCATAAAATATTTTATATAATTTAATGTTTTTGTTTGAAATGATAATGTTAGATGGTTGACAACATCTCTCTTGTCTTTATAATGCAAATAAATAAATATTTTATTCTTAATCAATAAGTTGATTAAGAGTGCAAGTTTGGTTAATTACCTACTAATTAATCTAAATCTAGATCTGTCATCCATAATGGAGACAAAATCAAAATATAAAGGATATCCACAATGGAAACAGCCAATTCTTTGTTGGAAGTCAGATTTCTTTTAATTATTTTACCAAATCCTCTTAATTGTCCCCAACTATAATAATTGAAAGAATATAAAATTTAAAACATGCTAATATTTTCACATGCACTTACATATTATTTGAGAATTTAATATTCGAGAACTCAAACGTTAAATTGTTGTTTTTCCAGGTTGTTCAACCATGGGATAGGCGTTCATTTGCTAGAGGTGGATAATGTTCCAGGAAAGAAGGGGAAGATCAATCCAAAGGACAATCACATTTCATTTCAAACTTCAGATATGGAGCTGATAATGAAGAAATTGGAGGCAATGAATATTGAGTATGTGACAGCAGTGGTGGAAGAAGGAGGAATCACAGTGGATCAGCTCTTCTTTCATGACCCTGATGGCTACATGATTGAGATTTGCAATTGTCAAAATCTGCCTGTTCTTCCTCTTTCTTCATGCCCCTTGAAGTTACCGAAGCCCAATGGGAATACAAATCCACCATTCTATGGTAAATTCTCTCTCTTTGTCTCAATCTTTGTGTCCGTGTTTTGACTGCCATTGTTGAGAGTAGATTCCAATACCCCACCTTTAAAAGTTGCTAGGCAAAAGAATTATTAATTGGGTATTTATTATTAATTTTGAAACTTGCATTTTCGAGTAGTTATTAATATCTAAGTTGGAAATTGTTAATTTTAAAACAACATGGAATTTGATTAACGTTTTAGATGAAAAAAAGGTATATCATATTATTTGTATATTTGTTCAATAAAAATCATTTTATGTTTAACATCGATGAAACAAAAACATGTTAAAGAAAATATACATAGATATGACATGATTTTATTAGATGTGTATAAAGATAGACATGATTTGATATGAAATGATTTTAATAGTATTACAAACATTATTCAATTTTAAGTTGAGCATAATTTGCATAATCTTTGTGGCTGTGTTTTAAGGGCATTGTTAAGAGCAGATTCCAAGACCCCACCCTTAAAAGTTGCTAGTCAAAGAATTAGTTGGTACTAATTATTAATACGTGCACGTTTGATTAACGTTTTAGGTGAAAATGACATATATTATTATTGGTGAAAAGGATACACTTTATCATATTTGTCGCCGCATGTAACAATGAAAATCAGACCAATGATGTAATTTTATTAGATGAGTATATGTATAAAAGTAAGGCTTTTTCGAACTTTATTTGAACTTTTTTTTTGTCCATTTTGCAGGAAGAAGAGGGTCAGAGGTGGCATATTGTGCAGGAGAAGTTGCAGCTCTGATGATGGAGAATTTGGTGGTGGACATGATGGACATTTCCATGTGAGAAAGAAGAGATTGATGATGAGATTAGAGCAAAAGTATATTTTACAAATTGTTTTGTGTACAATGTATAAAAAAAGGGTGAAAGTTTTGTAATGTGGGGACAAATTGCTTTTGTTGTCACAAGTTTCTTCCGCAACTTCTGTTTTGATAAATAAGCTCTTTCTATGTCATGAAACTGTTGATTTCATTGAATATATGAGAGCCAACTGCTTTAGCTTATTTATATGTCTTCTTTTAGTGTTGTAACTTTTTGTTCATGCTTTGTGTAATAGACAATTTGAATATTTTCATTCCATTTTGAAATCGTAATATAATGTACCATTTAGAATTTTGATTTGTCTCAAACTTTTTAAGGATCTTATAATATATGTACATTAATAAATATATAACACATGGGAAAGTTTATGTACGATTAAACAATGGTACATACGATTAAGCCAAGACATAAATAGGGGTGAGAAACTCTCTTGTGCGCTTGAGGCGTAAGCTGCAAACTCATGTGGTGGTATTGCGTGTTCCGGAGGGCTCACTGTTTTCCTCGTAAAGTAGTTCATTAACAGCTAAAGCCTCGTACTAACATATTGGGAGGAATATGAAATATGGTTATTTAGGGTTTTGTCTCTCAAGTATTTAACTATTTATGATAAAGATCTTGTATTTTGTTAAGGTAAATATCATATTAGAAAAGGATTTTGGATCATGGTTTATTTCAAACGTCAGCGAAAGCAATAAAAATTTCACAATCAAATAAAATAAATTCCAGTGCTAAGAGGAAAACTTGTTAGAGTGCAAAATGATAGTGTACAAGAAGATGAAGGAAGTTTAAATTGATACAAATGGGACATACATTGAGGGAATTTTACCAGAAACTATCTTCTACATTTCAGAAAAATCTCCACTAATTCTACACAATGATATATGATACAATTTGTACAACATTGTCAGAGTCAATACTTGACTAAGATGTTAACCTACCATCCACACATTTTCAGGAGATTTTGTGGTTGAGAGTAACTGTTCAGTTTCGGGTGTTAAAAGGTTATGGGATCGACTTATTTTATTGATCCGAAAAGAGGGTTGTTGACTCTCAGTCTCCTGAGGAGATGACAACAAAAACATCATCAAGAGACCATTTTCTTGGTTCAGACTTCTCTGAAGGGTTAATTATGGCACATTCTGAATTAGCAAGTCGATAGCCGATTACAATCTCCTGTCTTCGACGACCCCTGATCATTATCTCATAAAAAGAAAGCTCTTCCTGGTCAAATAAATAGAACTCTGCAGGTTTTATACACATTTCATTCCCCTGTATAGAGAAAACCAAGCAAAAGCCAAAGCAATTGTAATTCCACCTCTTAAAGCATCAATTTTTCACTCAAAACTATGGACAAGATATGTTAGCATACCTCCTCAGCGAATAGTTCCTCCAGGACACGATTTATTTGCTTGTCTTCAGCCACCATTGCCAGTGCCATACTCACCAGCTCATTTGATAGCACATAATCACTGATTCTGGAAACTGAAACGAGGTTCCTAGTCCTAGAATCCAGGATTTCACTGATAATTATTGACTTATCTGAAGCTTGCTGCATTTCACGAATCCATGAGCTGTGAGAGAACCCAGATAGCCGTAAGGAAGTTGACTTTGTATCTCTGTTGGGGAGACGCTTTGACTGTAATCAATGAGAGGCCATTTCTATCAGTAGTTAGTAATATAGACACTTAATGTTGGACAATATTTTCAAAGCTTTGTTTAAGCTACTAACAGAAAGAACAGAAAACTTACAATATTTTTAAACATTTGACCTTAAAGGAAAATGATAATCATCATGTGTCAAATGAAAACTATGCCAGATTTTAAGCAATTTACTATTAGATACCATAGTAACACAGACACCTATTAGTTGCTTGTTAACAAAATCACCAATATGGGAAAACTATAGTGTCATGCTCCATTTTCACATATTCATAACACTTCAAAAGCAATCATGCCCTAAATGTATAAAAAGGACACAGATCAAGATGCAAAATAGCATAGATTTTAAAATGCACATATAAATTGCGTTTAGAGGCGGAAAAGTAACCCGCACTATCCGACCCAACCCGCAACGGGTTACTTCTTTTGGTGGGTTGGTCCTAACCAGCCCGCCAACAAAGGCAGGCCGGATTAGGCCCGCCATTTTTGGGGTAATGGCTGGCCCAACCCGGCCCGCCAACCCTAACCCACCGGGTTAGGCTACGGGTCGGGCCGGGCCGGGTTAACCCTATTTTTTTATTTTATTTAGCTAACTTTTAAAAATAATTAACGATTTATAAATGAATAAATGTAATTGTTTTTAGTTAACTTTTCAAATATCAATAATTCAATTAAATTAATTTTTTTTTTATTAACATTTCAAATATTAATTCAATTTTAATACAATAAAATTGTAATATAAGAAAAATTAGATTTATTCATTCAATTGATGAAACTTTAGCATAAGAATGAATTATATTTTATGCAAGACATGGAAATTTAGGAATAAGACTTCAGTATTTAATTTTTTTATATTTTACGTATCATAAAAAATAATAATAACAATGTGTCAAATATTACGAAGTTTTATACATTTTAATATTTATGATTTAGAAGTATAGTTTAATATTATTGTGTAAAATTATTTATAAGAGTTCAATCATAATAGTTTAATTAAAAGAATTAAAAAAATGGGGGAAACTTGAAAAAAATAATTAATTTTTTAATTTTTTTAATTTTTTTTGGGCCAACCCGACGAGTTGGCTTGCCAACCCGCCGGGTTGGCTATTGTAAACAAATAGCAACCCGTCGGGTTGGCGGGTTGCCATATAGCAACCCGGCCCGCCCGAGGGTTGCATGAACCCAACCCGCCTATAAGGCAGTCCGGGTTGAACCATCTCTAATGCGGGCCGGGTTAGGGTTGACCCGTCTAACCCGGCCCATTTGTTCCACCTCTAATTGCGTTATAAAAAGTGATAGCAGTCATGGATTTGATTAGCTATCTCATACACCAAACTTCAATGCAGCAGTAGTAATTTACCTGTATGTCTCGAATCAGGAGAAGGGTGGCAAGAGATCGTGAGTCAGAATGCACAATGGAGTCTTCCAGAGACTCATCTGCAAGAATTAGTATCTGCACATTTGGAGTTAGCAATCAGTTGTATAAGTCAATAAACCAAAGGAAAATTTCAAGCTTTTACACAAAGAAAGTAGAATGATTTTGAAGAATCTGCCATCATGCCAATAATATGTATGTAGCTCTCGGTTCTCATTTTCTGTACCAGCACAATCTTTTCTTTTGACTAATCTTTCTCTAGTTGGTAAAGCAAACAAACATGTACACCTGTACTACCTAAATTCATTTAAAATCTCTTCTACATCATCATGATTCACCATCTTTTTAATTCAAGTCTCAGAATTGTTGTATGACAAACCCTTCAAAATCCTGGTGTGTCCTAGCTCGACCTAACTTGAAAAATATGATCCTGCCTTTGAGAAAATTCAAAATTTATGATTCCTAAACGTGTCTTTCAAAATTTAGTGTTAAAATATTGCTTCAAGGTTGATAAAATGAGTAGATTGTAGATGAGAGAGGAGAAATTAATAAAGCTTACAGAATCAAAAGTCTCCAAAGGAAGATTCTCTAAATGCCGTCTAATGACAGCATTCCCCTCATGGTGCACAAGTTTTAGGTTCTCTAATCCAGAAATATCAAGTCCACCATCAGTAAGCTTTTTCTCTCTTTCTTTTTCAGGAACCTCATTAAGCATCCACAGCTCTGAACCTGGAGCAAGGAATGCCTCTAATACCTGAAAACGGCAGTGCAGACAACAAAATAGGTTGGAACTTAAGTGTGAAGGGTATTTGCAAATTGCTAATATTAAGTTTCTTGATTAAAAAAAAAAAAAATTAATTTTCTGTTACCATCCAATACTTAGCTTATTTCAGCTTATGTTTCTTTTATTGCAATGTTAATAAATCCAAATAAAAGATACTACACAAGATTCTATAATATGTGAGTGAATTACCATAATCATATCATCAATGTCACGGCGCCAGCCACAGAACAATATCTTCTCTGGATATTTTGGAGGGTCAGGTATTTTTGGGAAGACACGGTTACATACCTGCAATAAGGAGAAAGTATAAGTGAGGTAAGAGAACAGTGCACTTATTGTTCTAGTGGAAAACATAAATCATATTATTTTATTTAATAGTATTATGAACAAATAACTGGTGATTGCACATATACCCACTTCTGGATCATGAAAACAATTTAAGATCAATAATTTGAAATTTTTGATTAGGCTGGTTTTCTTTGACTCATAAAAGGCCGCAAATCTGTCACCCCAATTAGCTATCTGGTAATCAATATTGCAATTTTTGCCAACTAGCAAATTAACAATGGTGCACGAACATTAACCATGATTCTACATCGTTTTGTTTGTGATATACGAGAAACTTGGGCATAGAGTACATGCTTAAATTAACACAAAGACTTAAAGTTGTTCTGCAATAATGATTATGAAATTGTGTCGTTTAAAGTTTAAAGCGAATAAGAAACAGAGACTGGCCAACATAATTGTCTCAAATCTTTAGTTGTGTAACTTCTCAAGCTGCAAAGCTTCAATTTAGAAAACAAATAGACTCATACACTATTGGATATGTTTACTTCCCTGCTATGTGAAAAAAAGAAAAGAAAAACCACCTCTGGAAGTGGACTTGGAGCATAAGTGTCATCATCTTCAGCTATAACAAGAACTTCGTCGCCCTCTTTCAGAACATAGTTATCATCTGGATTTAAAATTATCTTTCCACCATCTGCAACAACCTTAATTCCACAGGGAACTGCATCAGGAAATGAGATAAGCACATCTTCAAAACGCAGACCATCCAATTGAGGCCACCTTTTTATGTAAAATTCAGCATTCTCAAATCCCAATACATCCTCCCATATCTGGCCAGAAAAAGAGAACAACCTCTACTTTCAACAATGAAACTAAAAAATAATCATGAAAGAATGATATGAAAATATGCTGTAATTTCCAAAGAATTTAAGATGTACGAACAGATGATTAAGGAAATAAGATGTAACTTTCTATGTGTCTACATGCATAAAATTAAATTTGGCACAGAAAAACTGATCCAGTCCTTATGTAGGATCATTAACACAAATGAAAAGAACACTGGAAGCAATATAAGTAGGCTGGATGATGGGGAGTACTTTAAGAATAACATTAAATGTTTGGAAAATTCCATAAGAAAATGCATTGATAGGTAGTGTAAATTGTTTAGCTGTGAGAGTGGTTAAGATGAGAAAGGATATAATAATCCCTAACTTAAATAATGAGATGAAGAGTGTAAAAAATTAGAAGCCTAAGAAAATTTAAAGTAAAATGGTGCAGTAAATGTGCTATGAGGACTAATTGCTTCAAAATTGATGTTACTAAGGACGGTGTAGGCACACTCTACATGTAAGAAAGTTTGAGCAGTGGGTTATTTGATGGCGTCACTTGCCAAAACAATTTGGATTACAAAATATGTGGGCTTTGCAAAGAATAAGGCAAGTCATTTTAGTAACCTGTGCAAGGCCCGGTTGCAGAGCACATTGAATCATCAAGCGTCCGATCACATCATGTGCAACAACTGTTTCGATGAGCTCTCCACCAACAAGCTTAACCAGGGGCTCATTGTCAAGGTCACTCATCTCAACAACAACATGACCTCTTAAACCCTCTCTTACTCCTGTTAGACTGAGAACAACCCTTAAAGCGCGTGCATCACTCTAGTAACAGAAACATGAATACAAAGTCAATGTTTTACAAAGAAAAAAAAATATAATTCACAAAAAAGCATAAGAATGTTGCAAACTTTAAAGAACCTGATCAGCATTTTCATCAGATGCTAAAACAATGATAGCACGAGCCTTTGATACCGAGACCTGTAAATATAAATAAATGGTCATAAAAAAAGAATAAAGTAAATAAATAATAGGAAATATAGTCAAAAACCAACTCAATTGCTCAACCTAATTCAAAAACACAGTGCACTCTCAAAAATATTTATTTTCTTCAAAACACACGTCCATAAAGACTCAAAGATGACCAAATCTACCTTCTTTAAGTCAGCCAGTATAAGTGGACTGCCACTCCTGCATATGACAGAAGTTCCCATGAAGTCAAATTCTAACTTTGCTATGTCCATTTCCATTTCTTCCTTGTCTCTTTCTGCTAGTACAACAATTACACCACCACCAACACTCTTGTTCGCTACTGCTAGTTGCTTCAGCAGTGAACCCTGAAACCGAAGCACCATTGCTTAAACTCTGTTCTTTTTTGTTGTAAAATCATACTTCACAATCAAGGTTCAAACAATTAAAAAATTGCAAATCAATCAATAAGATTACCAATTTGTCACTCCAACCAAGAATTAGTATATGGTTCTTCTCAATAACTTCACTCTTTCCTTTCCGCAGTGAATCTACTTTCTCAGAGATAGCATCTGAGACTAGTCCAAGCATCATTGCAAAAATCAGCATGCCTCCTGAACTTATTGAGACAGAAACAATCCTGGGTCCAATGCCAACCCTATCGGCATGATTTCCTGAGTCAGCTACAAAACTCCATGAAAGCCAAAGAGCTTCAGCAAAGCTGCTGTCACTAACCGCATACAATGCCAAGCCACCAAATATTATAAGAAATATAGTTGCAAAGAGAAGTGCAAGCAGCTTTGCATAAGGATAAACAGAGAAACAAACATCCACCCTATATGCAATTCTCTTCTTCAAGGGAACCTCCTTTTTCTTTTTCTTTGTTCTTTTCGAAAAATTCTTTATTTGGGGAAGATAATCAAGATATTTATACAAGACAAAGGGCATAATGAGTGTGACTACCACAGTGTACAAAGCAACAATTCTACTGTCAGCATCACCAAAATTGGAAGTTGAAGTATTTTGTTTAAGCTGCAAAACTCTGGCGCTTTCATTGTCAACGCCTTTATTATTACATGCTCTACAAAGTTTACTGTTCTCATCCTACAAGAAAAATGTCATGTGTAAGAAATACCAACAGAAGAATGCCTTAACCCATGTTTGGATGCAAAGTGTTTGATATATGTAACTAATATTACATTGTTAATTTTATCTCTAGAATTTGAACACTAAGATGTAAATGAATCATTATAAATATCACCATGTAAGTGTTTATTTGTATGAATCTATCATTGATTTTTTTAAACTCATGGACGTCCCTTGAGCTTTGGCTAAATAAAACAACACCATATTACTTTAAAAAATTATAAGACAACTTCCCTAAACTTATGATAACCGTTATAAACTTATGCTAAGACCATTAAAGATAATCTCCGTGAAGTTTGATAAAAATTATCAGAACCCACCCCCGAAAGAGCTTCTGACTATAATTAGGCCAAACCTCAGGAGAGGAGGAGAATATATTTTTCCCATTTATAGAACTACCATATTCATGATATTCTCTTCTCATTCTCTATATTTTCCATCTAGAACAGAAATGGAACATAAATTTTACTTTCTCTAAGCCCTATTCAAAACAATTTAAAAATACTATATTGCAGATTCATATGATAAATTTCAGGAATTGCACAACATACCTCAAGTTTTACAACTCTATCTTGCAGGTAAATTACATAAGATGCAAAGAATACACAACTGAAAATTAGCTGCAAAACAAAACCATCAACGACCAAAACATTAGAAATTTACTTCACATTTCTTTCATTCATCTTTTTAGTATCATTTTCTGAAAAAGAAATAATCATTTTACAAAATCTGAACACATTTTAGTCCTCTTTCCAAACTTTTTAAAACTATTAAAAACACCCCCAAGTTCAAAATTAAGAATTTCAAAAACTACTAACCAAATAATATACCAAGGAGCTTTTTACTCCGCGAGTTCTTCCAGCTGACTGAGTTTGAGTCTGAGTCTGACTCACCGAACTCGACTGAGTCTGAGTCTGACTCACCGCCACGACCTCCTGCACTTCCTCCTTCTTCAGCTCCTCAATAATCATCTGCGGCTTCTGGGCCTTGCTCCCTTTGACTTTGACCCCACTTCGGCCCATATGTGGGCCCAAGAACGAAGGGAACATCCAATCTCTCTCCCCAAAACTATTCACATTAAAACCACTACTTCCATTACTGCTACTACTGCTACTGCTGGGGGTAAAGTTACCGTGATTCAATGACGTGGATGACGAATCGGACTCGACAAACACGCGGAGATCCGACGGCGCCTTGTTCGCCGTCGAATTGCGGCGGACTGCCGGGAATAGCGGGCCGGGGAAGTGAGTATCGTTCGGTGTCGTCTTCGTTCTCTTCTGCCGTGGCGGCCTCTCCGCTGCCACCGCCACCGGCGACGCCTTGGTGTCGTCGCTCTTCTGCATACCTTTGGGGCTAAAATGAAAGAAAATTAACAATTTGTGGGGAAGAAAATTGAATGATTTGAATTTTGAGAGACCTGTGGTGAATGAAAGAAGAGTTCTAAAGAGATGGTTTTGCTTTTGGGAGGGAGGATCTGGGCCGTTGAAAGTGGGGCAGGTGGGGCAGGGAGATGACGTGGAGGGTAGAGATGAAGGAAGAGTTGTAAAGTGTGGAGATTTTGGGAGGTAAACAGTAAAGAGTAACAGTTAGCTTAATTAGTTACTTTTAGAGTAATACTACGCCCATTAACACTTCTCATCAACTTTCTCTTGCTAACATTACATATCAGTTCATAATTTATTAATTTATATGGGTCTTACCTGTTCAATAATAGATCCTGTCTAATCAAGTCAATCACAAACTCTCACGTGAGATTAATAAGAGAGATTAGTAGGATTAATATTATTGTTATTTTTATATTTTCAGTTATTTCGGTTTGGAGGTTGAAATTTTGAATGTGTTTTTCAAACAGGAAATTTCCCAGAAAAATTTGTCCGCGAAAATTTCGCGTTTTGTCGACAGGACCTACCAAATCACGCGATTTCTATTTTTTTTAAGGAAATTATTATTATTATTTTTGGTTCCAAAGATAATAGATAACTAATTAATTTTTAACGGTGTTGATGTTAAAGTTAAAGTTCCACATCATTTAAAAGACGAAAACTTTGGTTACTTATATAGTACAAGAGTACTCCATCACTAAAAATAGCATTTTCAGAACAAAATAATGTGAACCTTAAAATCTAAAATAGATAATATCTCTAAGAATTCACTAACCATTTGTCTCAATCTGACATTAATCAATAAATATATTTACTAAATTGCATATTAAAAAAACAAAGAGTGATACTTTACACATTTTACAAATAGTTTATCTAGAATAATATGAGAAAAATTATATCAAACGATAAAGAGAAAAATAAATGTTTTTGCTAATTGAAAAAAGAAAGAAAAGAAAATTAGTTTGATGTTGTATTGGTGCTTGTTCGAAAATGGATCGACGAATGATGAACAACAATCCATTATGCCTCTCTTAAAAAGCATGGTGGTGTGGTGAGACCTAAAAAGTATGGTGGTGTGGTGAGACCTACAGGATTTAATGACCAGAAATTTTGTAAGGATGCACACTCAAATGCAGAATTAATGAATAACATAAAAAATAAATAAATAAAAGAAGATAAAATTAATGTTATCAATTTAATATTATATTAATAACCGTATATCTAGTATTTAATTTGTCCATATCTTGATGTGTTTAAAAGTTGAGAGTGAATTTTTTTTTTCATAACTAAGGTATACTAGTCGAGCCCGTCCAATCTTTAGGAACACGAAACAATATGCAAGACTTAAAACATAAAATTTCCGACTATAGTTAACTCCATCCAACCACAAAGAGAGATAATTATTTGATAGCAGCCATAATTATTTGATTTTTTTCACCTTCTCATCATGAGCTTAGAGATGGAAAAGCAGCCCGCCCCCGGCTCGACCCGATCCGCGGCGGATTGTGCAAAGTGGAGGGTCGGTCCTGACCCACCCGACAACATTGGCAGGCCGGGTTAGGCCGCGGGTTGGGCCGGGTTAACCCTTTTTTTGATTTGATTTTGTTTTATTTTGTTTAAGTTTAAATGTTTAATTAACTTTTCAAATGAATAATTAACAATTTATAAATGAATAAATGTAATTGTTTTTAGTTAAGTGTTAACTTTTTTTCAAATATCAATAATTAAATTAAATTAATTTTTTTTTGTTAACATTCCAAATATTAATTTAATTTTAATACATTAAAATTGTAATGTAAGAATAATTAAATTTATTCATTTATTAAAAAATAAAATAAGAAATTACAATAATTATTGCCTCGTTAAAAACCTCACCAAGAAAAACCCAATAGGACAAAAACTTGGTAAGGAAAAAAGAGTGCAATAATTGACAATTAATTTACAAGTTACAATTTACAAAACAACTAATTTTGGGGTTCACTAGGACCTCCCTCATCCGTATCATCTATATTACAAAATTGAAATGATTCTATTAAAGTATCGTCGACAACCTCGTATTGACCTTGATGGCGCGACCGTTCCCAATCTCGAAGACATGTGAGGACTTCAATCATTTGTGGTGAAAGTTTAGTCCTCCTTTCATTTAAAATTCTTCCACTTGCACTAAATGTTTGTTCGGATGAGACGGTTGAGACAGGAACAGCGAAAACATCCAAGGCAAGTCTTGATAATACCGGAAAAATACATTTTCTGGCTCTCCAATAGTCTAAGAGATCAATGTTGGCTCTCTGTTGTGGATCTACTGGTAACATTTCAGGGGTTGCCGAATATTGTTGAAGCTCATTACTTTGCGACTGCATGGCAGACAGTACATTAGTTGTTGTTGTTGGTGAAACTTCTGAAGAGGAGGTTGTGCTTCGGATTTGGGTCCTCTTCGGCCTATTCAGTGCACCCCAAGAGTAGAAGTCTTCATTTGTTTCTTCTGATGTAGCTTTCCTAGATGTTTTGCCTCTTTGCGGGTTCCCATACCTGTTTTCATATTGGAAATATACTTCGAAAAGTCTATTTTTTACCTTTCCTATTTGATTGGCTTATACTTCGGTTTGTAAATTTTCACATAAATTGTCAAAACCATTTTCTAAACCTGCTAATTTAATTCTAGGATCAAATATAGCACCTAAACAATAAAGAAAAGGAATGGGTTCCTAATATTTTGAAAAAAAAAATTCCATTGCCTTTATTGGTGCATTTAAAATTACACTGTCTTTGTTTTTTTATAAATAACTTGAAAATTTTTATAATTGTATGTATTACTAATGGACTAGTAGGATAATATACACCAGAAAGTTGTAAAGTGGATTGGTAAAAAATTTTAAGAAAAGAATGAAATACTTTAATTATTTGCCAATCATTTTCTACCAAATAATGAGGATCTCTATTATTTACTACAAAATAACTAATTATATTAGCATAAGGTAAACATGAATCAAGCATTAAATAAGTACTATTCTATCTAACAGGCATGTCTAATGCAAAAGTTCTAGGAGACATATTTGATTTTATACAAGTGTCATGAAATTCAACATTTCTTTTATTATTACTAGTAATCCAAGCTAAACAATCTCTAGTTCTATTAATATTTTCTTTAATTGTTTTGATACTACTTTTCACAATTAAATTAATAACATGACATGCACAACGTTGGTGAAAAAACTTCAAATTGTTATATAAAGGATAATTACTTTGAAATAATCTATAGCTTTACTATTACAACTTGCATTATCTAAAGTTAAACTTATCACTTTACTAACAATATCAAAATCTTCTAAAACTTCAACAATTTTATTATAAATTTGTTCACCACCATGATCGACATCCATTAATCTAAATCCTAATAAAGATTTATTTAATTACATTATTATCAAAATAATGACTAGTCACACAAATATAATTTGTTAACTCTACCACTTCAAATATCGCAGTTAGAGCCACACTAACATGACAAGTATGATTTTATTTTAATTCTAATTTCATTTTTTAAACAATTATTAAATCATTTCTAGTTGAGTTTTAGAATAACTTTTAAATCTTGGAAAAAATGAATTTTGAACAAATCTTTCAAAAATATACTTCATGCATATTAAAGGTATCAGTTGCAGCAATATAAAAGCTAACTGTTCCTATATACATAGATATAAGCCAATAGTACTCATATTAGTTATTGATTTGATTGCTTTCTTATTCCATTGCCTTTATTGGTGCACTTTAAAATACACTTTCCCATACTGTAATATAATAGTTCGAAAAGTGTATTTTTTACCTCTCCTATTTGATTGGCATATACTTCGGTTTGTAAATTTTCACATAAATTGTCAAAACCATTTTCTAAACCTGCTAATTTAATTCTAGGATCAAATATAGCACCTAAACAATAAAAAAAGGAATGGGTTCCCAATATTTAAAAAAAAAAAATTTCCATTGCTTTTATTGGTACATTTAAAATTACATTGTCTTTGTTTTTTATAAATAACTCGGCAATTTTTATAATTGTATGTATTACCAATGGACTAATAGGATAATACACACCAGAAAGTTGTAAAGTGGATTGGTAAAATTTTTTAAGAAAATAATGAAATACTTTAGCTATTTGCCAATCATTTTTTACCAAAGAATGAAGACCTCTATTATTTACTATAAAATAACTAATTATATTAGCATAAGGTAAATATGAATCAAACATTAAATAAGTACTATTCCATCTAACAGGCATGTCTAATGCAAAAGTTCTAGGAGACATATTTGATTTTATACAAGCGTCATGAAATTCAGCATTTCTTTTATTACTACTAGTAATCCAAGCTAAACAATCTCTAATTCTATTAATATTTTCTTTAATTGTTTTCATACCACTTTTCATAATTAAATTAATAACATAACATGCACAACGTTGGTGAAAAAACTTCAAATTGTTATATAAAGGATAATTCCTTTGAAAATAATCTATAGCTTTACTATTAGAACTTGCATTATCTAAAGTTAAACTTATCACTTTACAAACAATATCATAATCTTCTAAAACTTCAACAATTTTATTATAAATTTGTTCACCACTATGATCAAAATCCATTAATCTAAATCCTAATAAAGATTTATTTAATTTACATTTATTATTAAAATAATGACTAGTCACATAAATATAATATTGTTTAACTCTATCACTTCAAATATCGGCAGTTAGAGCCACACTAACATGACAAGTATGTATTTTATTTTTTAATTCTAATTTCATTTTTCTAAACAATTTTATTAAATCATTTCTAGTTGTAGTTTTAGAATAACTTTTAAATCTTGGAAAAAATGAATTTTGAACAAATCTTTCAAAATATTTATCTTCAGTCATATTAATAGGTTTATCAGTTGCAGCAATATATAAAGCTAACTGTTCCCTATATACATTAGAATTATAACGCCAAGTAGTACTCATATTAGTTATTTGAGTTTGATTGCTTTCTCTATTTCCATGTTGATTA